ATTATGATTACCTTTAGAGCCAAGGCTTATCTCAAAATGAAGTAACGGGATATGTGAATAGGAAGGAATATAGCCTATTGGCACATTTAGAAGTTACGCTTATGTATCAGTACAATCAATACACAAAGTGTTCTAAACGAATTTAAAACAAGATGTAGGCTGAATATTTAGCGTCATTTAATCAGCGATGACCAACAGACAGTTGCCCTAATGCAAGTTGTGTATATAATCCTCCCTTTGCCAATAGTTCTTCATGCGTAATCTAAATAATATTTAATCTTTTATAAAGAATAAAATCAATTTCATAACTATTTCTTCTCTTAATTTGCTTCGATTTACAATAGCAATCTTTTCAGAATTCTGAATTGTTGATAAACGACGAGCAATTGTTAAGCACGTTTCATAGATGTCATAACGCCATTACGCCGAGTATCGACAGCCAGATGTCAGGATACTAGAGAACTACTCTGTAAAAAAAAGAGGGTCATACTGAACCTTTTTTGGTACCATTTTCAGAACCCTTTGCAAAACTCTTTTCAGTTCCTGCAAAAAAATCTAGAACTTAAAATGGTTTTAGTCAAATATACGGAACTAAAAAGGGTTTTAGAAATTTTTTCGAGAACCAAAAAAAAGGTTCTGAAAATGGTACCGAAATCTAGAACCATATAAGGTTCTAGCTCTTCGCTAAAACCTTTTGATGGTTCATGATGACTCCTTTTTTTTTTTAGAGAGTACGGAGTTGAGTTTTTTACTCTAATTCCGACTCCAACTCCGATTCCGATTTTTCTCTTTTCTCAGTTTCGATTCGGACTACGACTCCGATTTTAAGGGTGTGTGTGGTGTGTGTGTCGGTGTGGGTAGCTGTTTCGATTGCGCCGTGTCAATCACCCACACCTGCCCGCACCCACATCCACACACCCACGCCCCATTCGGACAAGCCCAAAACTCCGAAATATTTAGGGCCGAGCCCAAAGTCAGAATAAATTTTCTGTATCTTTAATTAATTACTTAGTTTTTCCTATCAAACAATGACGTTCAAAGGGCTCAGCATCATACAATTTTTCAGATCATAATTATTGGTAGAACGACATAATACTCAGCTCTATGCTGCCCTACTGATCACTACGATTTCTAAAAGTGCATGGTGCTGTGCACTATGAAGTTTATTAAGTAATAATAAGGTTAATTAATTATGTTAATGTTCCGTTCGAAAAGCCTATCTAACCTTAGGGCTATAGGCCGAACAATTTCTGAACATCGAGCCGAGCCGAAATTCATATGGCCCGGTTCGTTCTGATGCTTTTTATTTAAACGCTTAGCATGCACAATGTGTAATATTTTTTCTTATAATAAATCTCGTTATATAATAAATAAATTAAATATATAAGATAAACAATTTATGTAACTTTAACTATTAATTGAAATATTCTCGGGGTAACACGGGCGGGGCCGGCGGGCCGAGAAAAAAAGTAGGCTGTGCGGAGAGCGGGCGGCGCGAGTTTTCAAATTTGATGGGTGGACGAGGCGAGGAAGACTTATAAAAATTTATCCACGGGGGCGGGGCCCGCGGGGCATCAAAAATCACTGCCTTGCACACCTCTATCAAGTAGACAGTACTTAATGCATTGACGTACTAAACATATTTTATTCTTCTAGTCCAAAATGGTTTTTAAATGTTTAATGAAATATGAAAGTTATCAATATAAACCTTGATTCAATTATTGGTAAACATTTCTCACAATTGATTCGTACAATAACATCAATACATTTAATTGAATCAATTGATTATTTAAATAATGAAAATAATTCTTCATCATATTCAAATTTATTAAATACACAAGCTGATAGTACAAAGAATATTTTAGTAAATATTGATGAAAGTGAAGATGATGAAAAAATAAAACGATTAGAATATGAACATTTAATATTAGGACAAAAAATTGACACATTAAAGTAAAATATATTTATAATATGACATTTTTTTAATATTTTTATCTAATAGACGATCTCAAACATCTTATGAAACATTATAACCAGAATTAGCAAGATGCGAATGGTTAGAAGAAGAATTATTACATATAATTAAACCAAAATCATCACGAATTATCAAAAAAAACAATCGGATAAGGTATAAATGATTTTATAGAGAAAAATAATTTGATATTAAGAACTAGAGAATCATCTGTAAAGTATCGTATTCGTAGTCCGATTCAGAGGTTCATATTCGAATATATAACATATTTCTTCCCTCGAAATGTAATGATGATGTTTTATGCAGACGAAATTTTGTTTGTTCATTATATATACCAACGTTGAGAGTATTTACGCATTTCTCCTATTTTAGTTTTATTTTTGTCCGGCAAAATCCAACCCTTCACTTCCTCGCAGTGCTGGATGTCAACGTCAGCTAGAAGGCTAAGATGGGCTCTGGTAGGGTTTTTAGGGCTAGTCAACTTAGATAACCTTTTAAACGACTCCGATAATAACAATAGAAGAACTCATTCCGGGCAACAGTCTCTTGTCTCATCGCCAGCATACGAAGATCTCATCGAAATCTTTGCCCATGGTAAGACAGTCACCTGTCTTCGACAATGCAACAATGAGTCGAAGCAAAACCAAAAACACATCACAAAAACATCGCAATATCCACCTACAACGTTCGCACTCTCAAAAGAGTGCGAAAACTGCGCAAAATAATTCATAGATGCGACGACAACAATATAGATCTCGTAGCTGTACATGAATATCGTTGGGAGACACAAGGAACAACTCGGCATGGCGCTTCGAATACGCTTCAGCTACAACAACAACAAGACAAAGTGGTGTCGGATTACCTATGAATCCTCGATTCTCGGCATTAATCTCTTCATCAGAAAAAATATCTGATCGTATCTTAATGGTACATTTCAAGGGCAACCATGCAATAACTATCATAGTTGTATACGTTATGAAAAATGCGGAATCAAACCACACAAATACACGAAGTGAACATGGATTCATAACAAATCTGCGACAATCAAAACGACAACCAGCAACAGCAATCCACTATCTGGCCTTTGTTGATGACATCCCAGCGAAAAATGTCCGATTATAATCAGATTATTGTGCAACAGAATCAAGATTAAAATTGATTATAATTTTGAGTTTTGCAAAAAATTGTTCATAATTCGATTAAAATCCGATTTTTCATCAAATTGCGAACGATTTTTTGCAAAACTCAAAATTATAATCAATTTTAATCTTGATTCTGTTGCACAATAATCTGATTATAATCGGACATTTTTCACTGGGATAGCTCTGTTTAAAAGCAATTTCGACAGAGCAGAAGCACAACTGATCACAACAGTGAAATAGGCTGATAAAGTAGGGTTACAAGTGTGGGTGTGGGTGTGGGTGTGTATGTCTTTTCTTCTGTCAAACACATACAAATACCCACCCACACATCCAGTCCACACCCATGACCACGCTCATCCTCAAGATAGTAGCTAGTTTGAGTACGAGTTGATTTCTCGGTCTTGCTGGTGATTGATCTGTAGCTGCTTCAGACATCGTAGCATTCCATTGCTGGTCATCTTCCAGCAATCCATGTAATCGACATGCCTCACGAAATGCTTCACAGATTCGACCATTTACAGTTCGCAGAGCTACGAATGAAGTAGGACCTCTGACCGTATGAAGTAAGAGTCGTACACAGAAACAATCGAAGTTGTTGGGATGTACAGTGTAGACACGACCCAAAGCGTCCGTTTCATGAATACCTGGATAATTATCCACACGACTTCCTTGAATGCACCGCTTAAAAAATTTTCGAGATGCATCCCATGTGTAATATTTTGAAAGATTACAGTACAGTAGGTTTTTGGCAAAGTCATCTTTCCGACAGAGTAAGAAAAATACTGTCAGTGTTGTCCTTCGCGGTTCATTAGCTCTCTCATGGACATTATCTTCCATAAAACAGACGCGTTGCCCAATTTTCAAATCTACAGCCGAATGAACTGGCGTCGGAGATCGTTCATGAATTGGAAAATTCAGGATTCGCCAGACTGCCTCGTTACTGCGAATGTATCTACCCAACTGGTACTGCTCAATTTTATCGACTGCTGTTCCATCCTTTTTCAAACTAAACACTGCCTACTCACTGCCTTGTTGACATATTTGCAGATGTATTTGATTGACTTCACCGAATTGCAATACTCTACATTAATATGAACTTGAAAGATCCGACTGAGCAATGGACAATATGGCACAACCTATTTATTGTCTATCTCAATTTTTTGAATGAAATTGTTAATTCTCACTGGGCGTTTGGTTTTGATACCACCGTCTTCTGGACTTCTTCTTCTGTATAATGGATATCCATCGTCACCGGTTTCTGTATCACGCAGCAATTGTCGTGGATATCTTTTCGTGTGTTTTTTATCCTCCATACATGAAGCATCAGGGTCCACAGCACCACATGGATCGTGGATCATATTTTTGCAGATTATTTCAAAAAAACGGGGATCTTGTTGAGGATCAAGAAGTTCTGCACTGGTGACACTGCCGATTTGATCCGATTTAATCTTGTTCTTTAGCCATATCAAAATATGCGCATGTGGTAGTCCTCTCTTTTGCCATTCAATAGAATACATCCAGTATCTTATTGACCCGAATACATGGCTTTTGGTAACAATGTCCATCAGCTTTATGAGCTTTTGCCTGAACACTCTTGCTAACAGATCATGACGATCCGAAGGAGTTTGTCCAGGATCCAGCTCTTCTTGAATCTCTCGCCACTTATTGATTCGGAGGCATTCTTTGAACGGCAAGCTTGAAAGATTTCACATAACTATTGTGCTCATAAACCATTTCCTGCAGTTTCTTAACAATATCTTCCCGTACTCTAGGTAAATTTTTGCAACGTTGCTGTACTTGCTTGCTATCGTCACCCATAAAGTAAATTTGAAGAAATTTAGATTCTTCATTCGAAGGTGGCAACAGAGATCCTATACGATAGTATACTTGACCCTGAATTCTAAAGGTAGGCATGAAGCCTGTGTCAGCCGCCTTTTCGGACGTGCCAAATGATGTCATTTGAAAGCAGGAGTTGTATTTTCTAATGCTATCCAGGAAATGCTTTCATTCAGACGTTTCTCACAACATTAGCGATTTAAATGGTTCAGGGACACCCGAAGTGGAGGTATTTTGACTTTGCCGTTAGAGCAGCACATACTTGCTGTTTCTCCACGTCACTTACACGCCGTGCAATGTGATCAAATATAAGTGATTTGTCCAATACACAGCTGCGGATGACTGTCGTAACTTTTTGTTGATCGTATTTGAACGCTTCCCCTTCCATAAATTTCCATAGTGCTGCTCTTGTGGCGGTCTGTCGTCTACAGCGATTTTCACTTGGAGTTCTTCTCTGTTCTACAGTTTCTTCTGCTCATGAAACGACATGCCGTACTCGATCGTCATCACGTCAAGCTCGCCGCTCTTCTGGATTCTTGTCAGCCCTTGAAGCTGCTTGTCTCATCTGGATTTTCGGCAGTCCCAGAGGCTGTTATTCTTCTGGAATTTGATATACTTCTTCCCAGAGAAGTTCTTTTTGTTGGGTGGCTTAGTATAATACTTTACTTACTTTGATTTATTAATGAAAGACAATAAAAAAAGACATCTATTTATATTGATGAAAAGCAGTGTAATATTTCCATATCGTCATCGTCGTGAGGCAAGAAAAAGAACAAATACATTTTTCTGTGAGTCACATAAAGAAAATGGGTGCATTATTATTATTTGTCATAATAAAACTCGTATACATTTTACTCTTTTAATCTATTAAAAATTAGAAATTAAAAACGTTTAGTTTTCATATTGCGACCAAAAAATTATTGATATAAAATGTTATAAATAGAAGGTAGACGATAGTGGACATAACCGCTAAAAATAAGGTAGTTTGATATTCAGCATGTGAAATATTGTATATGAGCGCTTAGACGGCCGTCGGCCGCCTTCGCTACTAATTTTTTATCATTTTTTAAAATGCTGTAATCTTATTGATCAGTTTCATAGATTGCCTGTAGAAAGCGTAGGATTCGTTTTTTTTCGAAGCGAAGTACATGTCGACCTTCCCCTAGATGTAGACAACATTTCTAAAAAGTTTCATTGTATTTGCTCGTATGATCTCCAAATGCATAGCGAACAAACAGACAGACAAACTTTCTTCTTTATATATATAGATATATAGTCTAGCCTCTCTTCGCGTGATATCTTATGAATCTAATCAGACATTTCGCTTTCCCATCGCACCACTAAAATCTAATTCTGGTCAAGGGCTCTAATCTGTCTGCAATAAGAACTAAGATTAATTCAAAACTAAGGGAACGTAAATATGTGAATAAGAAAGAATATATAAGCCTTTCTCTAAAACATGGAAACGTTATATTCTGAATACGACAGAATATAGCCTATTGGCACACTGGATTTTTGGTAAGATAAATTTGAATGGAGTGTATCATGTTTCTAAATAATATCGTCTTGCACTGCGACCAATGAATAAAGTTGGATTCAATAAAAACGTGTGTAGACACGTGATGAAAAAATGCGGATAACTAATTTTTATAGGTTGATCTTATTCCATCGTATAGAAACATAGATTTTAGATCTCATTGACATTGGATAGCATGATTTTTCTTATTTCATGCAGACTATTTTCGTATATGAGCCAGCTTTTCACATTATTAAAGTACAAAATTGTTTTAAACAAAAGTGTAAAATTCATAAAACTTTCCGCTGTGTATAATCTAATATACATTCAGTAAATTCATCTATTAGTTCAGATTAAAGTATAAGAAAAGCTGTCATGCATGGTTTATGACATTAACGATGATTTATTCATATAGAATCTCATCTCTGAAAATATTTTCATACTAATGAAACCTGATAATATACTATAGGAAGTGTAATGTGGATAAGATACACTATCGGTTTCGAGAAAGGCCATCTTGAGGGTGTGGGTGTGGGTGTGGGTGTGGGTGTGGGTGTGGG